ATGTCATTTTGTGTAGGGGACCTGGGCATCCTTGGATTTTGGTATCTATGGGTGATCCTGGAACCAATCCCCCTCATATATTGAGAGAGAACTGTATAGGCATTTACAGCTATAAACGTCTCTCTAATCTACATCTCAGAAATAGTAATCTACATCCTATTCTGACTATATCTCAGAAGTTTTGGTATATCGTGTCTCCATTTTCATTCATTTCAAAATATTTTCTCATTTCCCTGTGATTTCTTTGAGCTGTTGGTTATATAGGAGTGAGTTTTTTCATTTCCACATATTTGTGAAGTTTTTGTATGAGAACATATTTGCATCATTTCAATTCTTTTAAATTTATTGAGGCTTGTTTTGTGGCCTAGCATATGGTCTCTCCTGGAGAATGTTCCATGTGTACTTGAGAAAAATGTTGTTGAGTGGAGTATTCTGTAAATGTCTGTTGGGTCTCATTTGTGAGTTAATGTGGTTCTAGACTTGTATTTCCTTGTTGATCTTTTTCTTAGTTCTATCCATTACTGAAAATGGAGTATTAAAGTCTCCAAATGTTATTGTAACTCAGAATCCCAGCTTTAAAATGCATTTAAATTTTTTTCCCTTCTTAATCTTTTTATCTTTTTTTTTTGAGACAGTGTCTTCCTCTATTACCCAGGCTGGAGAACAGTGGCACAATCTCATCTCACTGCAGCCTCAGCCTTCTGGGCTCAAGCAGTCCTCCCACCTCAGCCTCCCAAGTAGCTGTAACCACAGGGGCGTGCCACCTCACCAGGCTAATTTTTTATATTTTTGGTAGAGATGGGTTTTTACCATGTTGCTCAGGCCAGTCTTGAACTTCTGAGCTCAGGCGATCTGCCTGTGTCAGTGTCCCAAAGTGCTGGGTGCAAGTACAGGTGTGAACCATCACGCCAGGCTCCTTAATCTCAGAAAGTAGTCTAACAGTTTGTCTTATTAAATTAAGTAATTAATTGATTGATTGATTTGAGATAGAGTCTTGCTCTGACACCAGACTGAGTCTAACAGTTTGTCTTATTAAATTAAGTAATTAATTGATTGATTGATTTGAGATAGAGTCTTGTTCTGACACCAGACTGGAGTGCAGCGGCTTGATCTCAGCTCACTGCAACCTCTGCCTCCCGGTTTCAAGTGGTTCCCCTGCCTCAGCCTCCCAAGTAGCTGGGACTACAGGTGCATGCCACCATGCCTGGTTAATTTTTGTATTTTAGTAAAGATGGGGTTTCACCATGTTGGCCTGCTGGCCTTGAACTCCTGACCTCAGGTGATCCTCCTGCTTCAGCCTCCAAAAGTGCTGGGATTACAGGTGTGAGCCACGTTAGCCACTGTGCCCAGCCTTATTTTATTTTTTGAGACAGTTTCCTCTGTCGCCCAGGCTCCAGTGCAGTAGTGCACTCTCTTCAGTGCAACCTGTGCCTCCTGAGTTCAAATGATTCTTGTGCCTCAGCCTCCTGAGTAGCTGGGACTATAGGCATGTGCCATGGTATGCCTGGCTAAATTTTTTTTTATTTTTAATAGAGATGGGGCTTGGTATGAGGGCCAGGTTGGTCTCAAATCCTGATCCCAAGTGATCTGCTCACCTTGACCTCCCAAAGTGCTGTGAATACAGGCGTGAGCTACCATACCTGGGCCTTACAGTGTATTTAAAACTCTTTATTTTCCTCCCTTTCCCACCAGGCATTCCTGTACACAGTACTCACTTACCTGATTGTGGGCTTGCTTAGAAATTCCAGGGGCTTTTTTTTTTTTTTTTTTGAGATGGAGTCTTGCTCTGTCACCCAGGCTAGAGTGCAGTAATGTGATCTCAGCTCACTGCAACCTTTACCTCCTGAGTTCAAGTGATTCTTCCAGGGGCTAATTTTAAAACAAACCAGGCGTAGAGACTCAATTGTGGAATCCTCCTGCTTAGTAGTTACAGATAGTCTACCGCCACCAGGCTGAAGTCAAGATGATGCCAACTGTACCACTGGATAGGTGATTTCTCAAGATAGCCATTGAAACAAGGCATGCAGACCAGGCATGGTGGCTCATACCTATAATCCCAGCACTTTGGGAGGTTGCGGTGGGCGGATGACCTGAGGCCAGGAGTTCGAGACCAGCCTGGCCATCATGGTGAAACCCCAGCTCTATTAAAATACTGAAATTAACCAGGCATGGTGGCACATGCCTGTAATCCCAGCTATTTGGGAGGCTGAGGCACAAGACTCATTTGAACAGGAGGCAGAGGTGGCAGTGAGCTGAGATGGCGCCGCTGTACTTCATTCTGGGTGACAGAGCTAGACTTACAAACAAAAGTAAAATAAATAAGGCTTGCAGACCCGTACCTTCATGCACCACTCCTGTATGTTTCTTATACCAAGTTTTTCTCCTTAAACCCCTTCACTCAGCCCAAAAAAACTGAGATGGTTCCTTTGAGGTTTGAGCTAGGCGGTTTTCCTATCTACTGACGTTTAAGTAAAAGCTGCGATTCTTTTACCACACCATGCTTTGACTTCTGAGTGGCAAATGGTCAAACTTGAGTTGGCTACGTTATTTATTGTGGTGTGGTACCTCTGCTCTTTGAACAAGCTGTTGTGGGCACAATTGAGGCTCACTATTCTTGGCCCGCTGCCCTGTGGTAGAGCTTCTGCCCCAGCAGTGGTACCTGGGTAGAAGAAGAGAGCCCTAGACCTCTAGCTGTGTTTGCCTGGTGTAGAACTTCTGCAGCATATAGCTGGCGTGTATGAGAAATGCTGGCTGGCTGGCTACCAGCGTTTCTCATACTGGGGAGAAACTGTAGCCCTCAGCTGGGAGTTAGGGTCAGAGAGAGCCCTGTGTTCTTGGTTATATGTCCCTGGAGTAGAGCTTCCTCACACTGTGGGGCAGGGCTGGGTTTGTGGCTCAAAAGCCACAGATTCTTACTGTTCGTACCAAGATTTGGTACTATTTGTTGCATAGATGTTTTTATGTTTGCTGCATGTGCTTAAGACATTTTCCAGAGACTTTGAGCTTTTTATAATTTTCACTAGTTAGGGTTGTATCCCTGAGGAGAGGGTCTGTGGAGCTACTCATGTCATTCCAGAAATACTCTTTCTCTTCTCTTCTAATTTTCTGTTTGAGCCAGAGTCACTTTCTTGCTCAGGCTGGAGTGCAGAGGCACAATCTCAGCTCACTTCAGCCTCCGCCTCCTGGGTTCAAGTGATTCTTCCATCTCAGCCTCCCAAGTAGCCTCCCTGGTAGCCCACAGATTGTGGGAAGACAACAGAGACTATTCTGATTCTTATTCTAACAACTACTGCAGTGTCTGGCACAAAATAGGCGCTCCAGAAATGTATGAACTGAGCTCTTCCCCCTAGACTGGATGGGCTTCTTAGGAGTAGGGATCAAAGCAAGGGGAGGACCTGGATGGGGCAGGGTACTGGAAGGAGGCAGGGATGGGAAACTCTAGCAGATTCCACTAAAACAGGTAAAATGGTGAGGGTAAGTGGGGTATAAGGATAAGAGTAAGGATAAGAGATAAGGATAAACTTAAGGATGGCTTGGCTGTGTGAGTTTATGTTCTCTGCATAATCTTTGCTTTAGGGGAAAATTGTTTTGAGGGTTGGCAGTAGTCAGTGATTTATTTTTTTAGTAGTAGCCCAAAGCAACGCTGTGACTTTTATCTTTATTTCTCTGGTGGAGTGGGGGTGGGATGAGGATGAGTTGTGGTAGAGCTTTTCTCCATTCATATGTTGATATCAGTATATTTATATTCTTCTTATCCTATGGCTATTTTTATACCTGTATGAAAAGTCTAGACAATTTGTTTCTGCCCTCTTCTCTAACTTCATCTTCTTCCACTTTCCCCTTTCCTCACTAGTGTCAGTCATATTGGCCTTCTTAAGTTAGTTTCTAATCCCAAGGCCTTTTTTCTAGTTGTTTTCCCTGTCTGAAGCTCTGCCTTCTGATCTTTGCTTGGTTGGTTTTCTCTTGACATTCATGTCTCATAAATGTCACTTCTCAGAAGCCTTCCCTGCCAGAATACCCAATATAAAGTGACACACTCAGTTGCAGTCAGTCTGTTTTTTTTGAGACAGGGTTTCATTGTTGCCCTGGTTGGAGTTCAGTGGTGGGATCACAGATCACTGCAGCCTGAACCTCCCTGAGCTCAGGTAATCTTCCCACCTTAGCCTCCTTAGTAGCTGGGACTACGGGTAAACACAATCACACCTGGGTAATTTTTGTATTTTCTGTAGAGACAGGATTTTGCTGTGTTGCCCAGGTATGTCTTGAAGTCCTGGGCTCAAGTGATCTGTCTGCCTCAGCCTCTCGAGTAGCTGAGATTACAGGCACCCACCACCATGCCCAGCTAATTTTTGTCTTTTTTTTAGAGACGGGGTTTCACCACGTTGGCTGGGCTGGTCTTGAACTCCTGACCTCGTGATCCACCTGCCTTGCCCTCCCAAAGTGCTGGGATTACAGGTGTGAGCCACTGTGCTTGGCCAGTTATAATTATTTTAACAAAGGTATTCATTTGCTTTGGCTATATTTATAGGCTAATAACTTTCAGACTTTTACTGTCTGGAACATTCTTCAGTTTTAGAGATAGCTACTATCACTAAGCTATATCAACACAGTACAAAGCTATTCCCTGTCACCCCTGCTCTAAGAACTTTGACTTATTTTCTGTTAAATTTTAGCTTTCAATTTTAATCCTTATATTTTGTACATATATATTGTGAATAACTATATATGACTTGCTAATTATACAGTTGTATACAATTTTGGGGGTACAATAAAATTAGAAACAGAATCCTAGAGAATTCAACAAATTCAAGAAATTATATATTTGTTTAATGGCTTCAGCTATGTGGTATAGGATTGGATGATCTAAACCTTAAGATCCTTTCTGACTTAGGTTTTAGATTTTTGTTTAGTAGGTCAGTTTGACTTTTTTCCCCACAGCATTTCATTTTGTATATTTCTTAAGATGATCTGGACATGTACCACTGGTGGCACGTTAAGATGATGTTACAAAGTACTTTACCAGTGAGTCAAAACAATTCTTTTTAAGTTTTCTTTTCTATCTTCTGATTTTGTCCAGTATAATGTTAGGTGCTACCATATAATTTAATGCTTTTATAACATTCATTCATTCATTCATTCATTTAGAGATGGAGTCTTGCTCTGTCTATATGGTTTAATGCTTTTATAACATTTATTTATTTGTCTATTTAGAGATGGAAACTCTCTGTCGCCCAGGATGGAGTGCAATGGCGCCATCTCACCTCACTGCAACTTCCACCTCCTGGGTTGAAGCAATTCTCCTGCCTCAGCTTCCTGAGTAGTTCGGGAGCACGCCATCACACCTGGCTAACTTCTGTATTTTTAGTGGAGACAGGGTTTTACCATGTTGGTCAGCCTGGTCTCGAATTCCTGACCTCGAATTTGCCCACGTTGGCCTCCCAAAGTGTTGGGATTACAGGCGTGAGCCACCATGCCTGGCCTATAACACTTATTTATTTTATTTTTTTGGGTGGTGGAGTTTCGCTCTTGTTGCCCAGGCTGGAGTGCAATGGTGCGGTCTCTGCTCACTGCAACCTCTGCCTCCTGGGTTCAGGTGATTTTCCTGCCTTAGGCTCCCTAGTAGCTGGGATTACAGGCATGTGCCACCATGCCTGGCTAACTTTTGTATTTGTAGTAGAGATGGGGTTTTACCATATTGGTCAGGCTAGTCTCAAACTTCTGACCTCAGGTGATTCACCCATCTCAGCCTCCCAAAGTGCTGGGATTACAGGATTGTGCCCAGTCCTATAATACTTATTAATCTCCTTTTTAAGACAGAGGGCATTATTCTTAGTCTTGGGCACATAATGGTACTTACTCAAAATGTCGAACCTTTGAAGTTTGTGTGTGTTTCCCCTCCCTTAATTTATTATCTTCTATTTATGGAATAGTGAAAGATAGTTTTCTTTAGGAATAAATTTATTTAAGCAAAAATAATTTGATTATGAATTTTAAAGAAGATTATGGGTATACACGAAGGCAGAAAGGCAGAAACGTGAAGAAGTAGATGAATAGGAGTAATTGAGAACGTGAAAGGTCTTTGTCTCCGTTTATATTGTTAATTTTTTATTACTTATAGTGTATATTCAAGTATGTTAACTTATCATTGCCAGGTTTCCATGGATCTCAATAGTGCCAGCACTGTTGTTCTTCAGGTCTTAACACAGGCCACCAGTCAGGATACTGCTGTGTTAAAACCAGCTGAGGAGCAGTTGAAGCAGTGGGAGACACAGCCAGGTTTCTATTCAGTGTTGCTGGTAAGTTGCTCTAAAATTGTTTACTTTTCTTTTTAATAAAATGAGACAACATTAATTTAATTGTTTTTAAAACTTAGTTTTATTGGTAGTTTAGTGAAATAGATTCAAATGTTTGGCTGATATTGCCTCTGTCATTGTCTTACTACTTTATGGCTTCTTAAGGGTTGATAAGAAATATTTGTTCATAAATATAAAAATAAGCAAGGCATATGTAACATCTGTTCAGAAGGCAAAACTGTGATGATCTTCGGTTTTAATATGTTACAGTAGCTACCATCAGGACTTCAGGTAGCACGCTTTCATATTCTGTCTTTATCTTTACCCCACGTAATTTATGTTGCAATAGTTGTTCAGGTCTTCGCATCAGGCATACCGTGTATTTCACTTTAAAATGTTTTCTTTTCTCATCTAAAAATTTTATTCTCTTGACACAACTGATGTTTTTTTGGGTGTAATGGGAAATAGTATAATTAATTAACAATATGTGCTTTAACCAAACCTTTATTGGAGTTTAAAGTTTTTGACTAGTTAATCAAAATTATTTTCTCAATGCCAGAATGAAAGAAGTCTTTTTGTGTTAAACAGCTTCCTTATACTTTTCTTCTGAGAAATTGAGAACTCTGATTAGTGTTTAAGGTTTAGCTTGTGGTCAGGACAACAAAGCTGGGTTGGATTAAAAACTGATTCAGTATTTGCGACTGGGTCATAGATTGAGAGCAAAATTGTTTACCATATCTTGCAAAATAAGTGATAGCAGTTGTCATATACTTCTTGGCCCAAAAAGTTTGATTTGTTTATTAGATTGAAGAAAATATTGGTCATGACTATAAGGGAAATTGTTTAGAGTCAGACTTGTTATTCTGAATATAACAAATAAAAGTTGACTATTTGGATCAGTAAGAAAAAGGCAAAAAAAAAAAAAAGATTGATTTTAAGAGATACTAAAGAAAACATCTTATTCTTTATGTAATCCTAGCATCATGTTTGTACATTTTAGGCATAGTATAAATCTTTAGAAATTATCTTGAGTAGGGCCAGGAGCGGTGGCTCACGCCTGTAATCCTAGCACTTTGGAAGGCCGAGGCAGGTGGATCACCTGAGGTCAGGAGTTTGAGAGCAGCCTGACCAACATGGTGAAACCCCATCTCTACTAAAAATACAAAATTAGCCGAGTGTGGTGGCGCCTGTCTGTAGTCCCAGCTACTTGGGAGGCCAAGGCAGAATCGCTTGAAGCCAGGAGGCGGAGGTTGCAGTGAGCCAAGATTCCACCGTTGTACTCTAGCCTGGGCAAAATTTCTTATTTTAATTACTGTTGGACTTTAAAAACCAATAGGCGTTGCTTAACTGTTGTCTTTTTATATATGAATAACTAAACATTCTTAATAATTTTAAATGCCTAGGTCTTTTTTTTTTTTTTTTTTTTTTTTTTTTTTTAAAGTAGAGGCAGGGTCTTGCTTTGTTGCACAGGCTGGTCCCAGATTCCTTGGGCTCAAGTGATCCTCCCACCTTGGCCTCCCGATGTCTTTATTTTTACTAGTTGTAATTTTCTTCTTAAAGGAGGGATATAACATTTCTTTTATATTATAGAACAGATTATATCTATAGTAGATGAACAAGCTGCTGTGTTTTAGTCTTCCTTTTTCCTCTGTACTCACTATCTTGGCACATTTGATCTTCCCTAGCTGTTCATTCTAGTCAGGAGACTCCTATATTTGTGTACATCATCTCAGGTTTGTGTTCTAGTCCTGTTATTCAAAGTACTTATAAGATATTGCAACTTGGATTGACATCTGCAGCTTGACTTTTCTTGTTTTCCCAAGAGTAGTTGAGATAGACTGAGACTCACCAGCTTTCACAGTATTCCCATATTACTTCCAATCATTCTCTCATTTGCTCAATAGAAAGTTATGAAGTTTCTGCTTTGCTCGGCACTGTGCTAGGATCTAGGCATAAGACAAGACTCAATCTAGTATAGAAGGTGGACATGTAACATGTCAAGATCAAATGTTATTAATCTGGCCGGGTGTGGTGGCTCATGCCTATATTCCCAGCACTTTGGGAGGCCAAGGCGGGTGGATCACAAGGTCAAGAGATAGAGACCATCCTGGTCAACATGGTGAAACCCCGTCTCTACTAAAAATACAAAAATTAGCTGGGCATGGTGGCACGTGCCTGTAGTCCCAGCTACTCGGGAGGCTGAGGCAGGAGAATTGCTTGAACCCAGGAGGCGGAGGTTGCGGTGAGCCGAGATTGCTCCATTGCACTCCAGCCTGGGTAACAAGAGCGAAACTCTGTCTCAAAAAAAAAAAAAAAAAAAAAAAAGTGATTAATCTGGTAAAAGAAGTGTGTCTTTTATAATGGAGACCCAAAAGAGGGACTTGCACCCAGTAGCCAGCAGTTTGAAGGAATAAATGGGAGTTACACAATTATCGTAATCTTTTTTTTTGTATTTACACATGATTTTCTGAAAATGACTATATAGTGTACATTCCTTTTTTTTTTATTTTCTGAGACTGAGTCTCACTCTGTTGCTTAGGCCCAGAGTGCAGTGGCAGGATCTCAGCTCACTGCAACTTTTGACTCCCTTGTTCAAGCAGTTCTCCTGCCTCAGCTTTCTGAGTAGCTGGAATTACAGGTGCCTGCCAGCATGCCTAGCTAATTTTTTGTCCTTTTAGTAGAGATGGGGGTTTTACCATGTTGGCCAGGCTGGTCTCGAACTCCTGATCTTAAATGATCCACCTGCCTCAGCCTCCCAAAGTGCTGGGATTACAGGTGTGAGCCTCTTTTTAACAAATACTTGGCTGAGTGCAGTGGCTTATTCCTGTAATTCTAGTATTTTGGGAGGCCAAGGCAGGTAGATCACCTGAGGTCAGGAGTTCCAGACCAGCCTGGCCAACATGGCAAAACCCCATCTTTGCTAAAAATACAATAGGTAGCTGGTCATTACATGCCTGTAATCCCAGCTACTCAGGAGGCTGAGGAAGGAGAATCGCTTGAACCTGGGAGGTTGCAGTGAGCCAAGATCGCTCCACGGCACTCCAGCCTGCGCAACGGGAGTGAAATGCCGTCTCCAAAAAAAAAAGTTATAAATATTTTTCTTTTTTTTTTTTTTTGGGATTTTTGTACGCAAGGTTTAGGAGGTCACCTCTGGGAATTTGAGTTGTTTTTGTTCTCAGGCAAAGTGTAATTATAGTCATTATTATTTGGAGTTACATAATGAATACATTCTTTGAGTAGCGGTTAATTTTGAGTTGTGTTATTCACATCACATCTAGCTTTATATTTAAATTTTGAGACGGAGTTTTGCTCTTGTTGCCCAGACTGGAGTGCAGTGGTGCAATCTCAGCTCACCACAACCTCTGCCTCCTGGGTTCAACTGATTCTCTTGCCTCAGCTTCTAGTAGCTGGGGTTACAGGTGCCTGCCACCATGCCCGGCTAATTTTTGTATTTTTAGTAGAGATGCGGTTTCTCCATGCTGGCCAGGCTGGTCTCGAACTCCTGACCTCAGGTGATCCACCGCCTCGGCCTCCCAAAGTGCTGGGATTATAGGCGTGAGCCAACCATGTCCCACCTTATCAAACTTACTTGTAATTGTTTCCATAAGGAGGGTACTATGAAATAGGCTTATTTCTTTTTTTTTTATTTTGAGACAGAGTTTCGCTCTTGTTACCCAGGCTGGAGTGCAGTGGCGCTATCTCAGCTCACCACAACCTCCGCTTCCTGTGTTCAGGCAGTTCTCCTGCCTCAGCCTCCTGAGTAGCTGGGATTACAGGCACGTGCCACCATGCCCAGCTAATTTTTTGTATTTTTAGTAGAGACGGGGTTTCACCATGTTGACCAGGATGGTCTTGATCTCTCGACCTCATGATCCACCCGTCTCGGCCTCCCAAAGTGCTGGGATTACAGGCTTGAGCCACCGCGCCCGGCCAGAAATAGGCTTATTTCATAGCATGTATTAACAACCCTGGGGCCTTGACTCCTTTGAATCTGTGCTGTAGTGGGACTACTTTTTCTAATTTGGAAGTAATGTGTTTTATTGGATATGTGTGGGGTTATGGTATTCATTTGAAACATAATTAGGTTTGCTTGTTTTCTGAATTTAATCTTTTTACTAGGGGAATTTTCAAACACACCTAAAAGCAGAATAGTACAATGACTCTCTACATGATTGTTACTCAGCTTAAACAGTTAACATACAACCGAGCAGGTATACTTTCTTATATGAATTGTAGAACTGTATCTACTTCATAAATATCAATATGATATATGTAGTGATAGAATGTAAACAAATGTAATAAAAAGATTTGTCTAGTCAGGGAGTGGTGGTGCACACCTGTAATCCCAGCACTTTTGGAGACTGAGGTGGTTGGATCACCTGTGGTTAGGAGGTTGAGACCAGCTTGGCCAACATTGTGAAACCCCATCTCTACAAAAAGAAATGCAAAAAAATTAGCTGGCTGTGGTGGCAGGCATCTGTAACCCCAGCTATTTGGGGGCTTGAGGCTGGAGAATTGCTTGAACCTGGGAGGCGGAGGTTGCAGTGAGCCAAGATTGTGTGTGCCATTGTACTCCAGCCTCGGAGACAAGAGCGAATAAAAGTGTCCATACTTTATTGTGGACACTTTTTTTTATTCCATGCTAATTCTAATATTATGTTTACTTTTTACTTATTCCATGCTAATTCTAATATTATGTTTTTTATTTATAGAATATTTTCACAAACCATACTTTGGATATAAATGTAAGGTGGCTTGCTGTACTGTATTTTAAACATGGAATTGATCGCTACTGGAGACGTGTAGCACCTCAGTAAGTTCCGTCACTTCCCCTATTTCTTGAGTGTAATCCTTTCCAAATTCAGGAAGGTAAAAGAATGTACTTGTTTATGTAAAAGAATGGGTTAGTGCTTGCTTCTGTGGCACATATACTAAAATTGGAATAAGACAGAGAAGATTAGCATGGTCTCTGCAAGTATGTTGTAGAAATTTGTGACGTGTTTGATATTTAAAAGAAAAAAACGCAAAAAAAGTGTTTGCTACTGAATAAGTGTTCTATTTAGTTAATGACAAATCAATAGCCATATTGTTGTTTTCATGGTTTTATGTTTCTCTTTCTCTCTCTCTCTCTCTCTCTCTCTCTCTCTCTTTGTCTCTGTGTGTGTGTGTGTGTGTGTGGTTTGCCTTCTGCTTGCAAGGATCATGCTTAGTGAGTCATGTTGAACAAAAGCCATTTTGTTTTTAGTCCTACCTAGTTAAAAGGCTGAGGCAGGAGGACTGCTTGAGTGGTAGTTTGAGACCAGTCTAGGCAACGTGACGAAAGCCCATCTCAAGAAAAAAGAAACAGAAGTATACGGTTAGGATTTAGAAAAAAGCCATTCAGAAGGAAATCCCAGGTCAATCCTGAACCAACTGGGTGTTAGTTTCTGAGTCTTATGCATTCTTCCTCTGTGGTGGAAATGGAGTAGTACACATTTGTAATCACATTAGTATTCAGTTATGTACGTAGTTAACAGATTTCTCTTAGTAGTTAATTTTACATGTTATGTAATTGATGGAAGAAAAGCGTTGTAGACATGACCCTGGGATTTGTTTGATAGAAAATATGGTAGTGAATTTTGCCAAAGAAGTAACATAATCTGTGTTTTCCAGTAGATGGCACAGTAGCTCTGTAAATTCTTAAAGCCATAAGACTTTTTTTTAAAAGTCTGAATACTTCGGAGTACATATAAAACATGTCCTTGAGTAACATTGGAAACAACTAGAATATTTCAGGCTTAGGATATTATAATATGGTTTAAAGCAAACATGTCTTCTTTGTTAGGATTTTAGATAGGATTAACTTTTAGGTAGGATTAATTCATAATTTTGGGGAGAAATATGGTAGGTAGTGATGAGAAAGTGTGCATTATTTGTTTATAGGAAATGGCCCAGCAGCACTTTTCTACTACTTTGTCCAATTAAATTTTACTCATCTCTGACCTGGCACAGTGGTTCACACCTATAATCCCAGCGCTTTGGGAGGCGGAGGCAGGCAGATCACCTGAGGTCAGGAGTTGGAGACCAGCCTGATCAACATGGAGAAACCCTGTCACTACTGAAAAAAAAAGATACAAAATTAGCCAGGCATGGTGACGCATGCCTGTAATCCCAGCTACTTGGGAGACTGAGGCAGGAGAATCACCTGAACCCCATAGGCAGAAGTTGCAGTGAGCTGAGACCTCGCCATTGCACTCCAGCCTGGGCAACATGAACAAAACTGCATTTCATAAAAAACAAAACAGAACAAAATTTTATGTGACTTCTAAAATTCATTTTGTTTTACTGGTTATATAAAGGATATAGTTATAAATGATTGTTTTGACTGGGCGCAGTGGCTCAATCCTGTAATCCCAGCACTTTAGGAGGCTGAGGCAGATGGACCACCTGAGGTCAGGAGTTTGAGATCAGCCTGGCCAACGTGGCAAAACCCCATCTCTACTAAAAATACAAAAATTAGGCAGGCATGGTGGTGGATGCCAGTAATCTCAGTTGCCAGGGAGGCTGATATAGGAAAAACACTTAATCCTGGGAGGTAGAGGTGGCAGTGAGCCAAAATTATGCCACTGCACTCCGGTCTGGGCAACAGAGTGAGACTATGTCTCAAAAAATATATATAAATAAAAATAAAAATAAATAAATGATTGTTTTGCAGGGAAAGTAAATTATAATTAAATATTTAAGGTTGTACTTTTACATAATGAATTAGAACCTGGAATTTAGTTTAAATTTAAAAAGTTAAGAGATAATTTATACAATATTAGGTAGATAAATCCCAAGCTGTATCTTTTAGTATATATTGAGATGAAAGCAGGAAAGGAGATGAATGTATTTAGAAAGGGAGCAAGGGTGGCTGATTAGTAATTCAACTTACAGTTAAACTTGAAACTTTTTGAAAATATGCTTGTTTCTCTACTTACCTGTTTCATTTTTCATAGAGCCTACTCTTAACCATTGTCACAGAATGAGAATTACTGAAAAAGCTTGTTACCATTACCGTATTTTTCTGGGTCCTAATTAATTAAATACTATCCTATTTCTGCTTGGGATACGGTTTGAATTCATCTAATGATATTGTGCATAGAATTAAAGGTGGAACGTTAACTATTATTAGAGAATTGCTAAAGATATGAATTTTCTTTAGGTAAATGGCTTCTTTAATATCTGTAGAGTCCCTGACTTATGGTGGTTTGATTTAATGATTTTTTTTTTTTTACTTTACTATGATGTGAAAGTAATATGTATTCAGTAGAAACTGTACTTCAGGTACCCATACAACCATTATATTTTTCATTTTCAGTACAGTGTTCAATAAATCAACATGAGATATTCATTATTTTATTATAAAATAGGCTTTTAGTTGGATGCTTTTGTCCAGCAGTAGGCTAATGTAAATGTTCTGAGCATGTTTAAGTTAGGTTAGGCTAAGCTATGATGTTCAGTAGGTTAGATATATTAAATACATTTTTGACTTACAATATTTTTTGATTTAGTGTGGGTTTATCAGGAGGTAACCTCATCATAAGTAAGGAGCATCTGTATATTTTTTTGCATGATCTCTCTCCACATATTTTGATAGCTAGTCATTATATTATACATTTTTATCCTAATTAGAGTTATGCAGACTGCTGAACCTGGCTCCTTGGCATAGAAGAAAAAGTTTAATTACAAGCTTAAAAGCAAAACATTATAGGAGAACACATTATATCATGGATTTGCTAGTAGAAGGGAACTATCTGCTATGGAAAGTATGGAAAGTATAACATAGTCATCAGTCATAAAAGGATTAGAGAGATCATTTCTAATGACTTGAATACTTATCTTAATCTTGTTTTCTCATTTGTTTATTAACCTTGAATAAGTCATTAAGGTTTTAAAATAGTTTCTTTGAAGTGTAATACATAACATACTTTCAACAGTACACAAATGAAGGGTTCAGTTTGAATGTTTACAGTGAAAAGACACCTGTGTAACTGCCGCTTGGAACTAGGTAGAACACCTAAAACACTCCAGAAACTTTTACACATGTGCATTTTATTACCATTTATAGTCAGATGTGTGTTCAACTTTAGTAGATTCTGTCAGTGAATTTTCTAGGCTGGTTGTACCAGTTTGCACTCCCACAGCAACATGTGAGTGTTAGTATTTGCTCTGCATTCTTATCAACACATGGTCTGATCTTTCATTTTAGTCATTCTGGTGGGCTTGGTAATTTTAGTTTGCATTTTCTTCACGAATGAAGAGGACTTTTTCATTGTATTTATTAGTTACTGGGATATTCTCTATTGTGAAGGGTCTGTCATTTGCACATTTTAAAAAATTGGATTATCTTATTGATTTATGGGATTTTAATTTTGAGTAGGAGTTTTTTTGTCAAATATGCATATTAAAAATATCTTCTCCTAAGGTAGTGCAACTACTGTGGAGGTGAGTTTGGAGGCTCCTCAGAAAACTAAAATTAGAGCTACCATATGATCTAGCAATCCCATTGCTAGGTATATACCCTAAAGAAAGGAAATCAGTATATTGAAGAGATATCTGTACTCCCATGTTTATTGCAGCACTATTCACAGTAGCCCAGATTTGGAAGTAATCTAAGTGTCCATCAACAGGCAAATGGATAAAGAAAATATGGTACATATACACAATGCAGTAATATTCAGCCATTAAAAAAAAAATCTTCTAAGCTGGATATGGTGGCTCACGCCTGTAATCCCAGCACTTTGAGGGGGCTGAAGTGGGCAGGTCACCCAAAGTCAGGAGTTTGAGGCCAGTCTGGCTGACATGGTGAAACCCCATCTCTATTAAAAACACAAAAACTAGCTAGGCATAGTGGCACATGCCTGTAAATCACAGCTACTGGAGAGGCTGAGACAGCAGAATCTCTTGAACTTGGGAGGCAGAGGTAGGTTGCAGTCTAGCATGGGCGACAAAACGAGACTCTTGACTGCAAAAAAAAAAAAATAACTTCTATGTGACTTGCCTTTTCACTTTCTTAATGGTGTCTTTTGGTGAACAGAAGCCCTTAATTTTAATGACGTTTAATTTAATTACCTTTCTGTTATTATTTCTTTTTTAAGTAATTTAAAATTTTTTTTTTTTTTTTTTTAAAGGAGACCAGGTCTTGTTCTGTTGCCCAGGCTAGAGTGCAGTGATGCAATCATAGCTCAGTGTAATCTCTAACTTCTGGGCTCAAGCAATCCTCCTGCCTCAGCCTCCCTGTAGCTGAGACTACATGTGTGTGCCACCACTAGCTAATCAAAAAAAATTGTTTTAAGAGATGGGGTCTTGCTGTGTTGCCCAGGTTAGTCTTGAACTCCTGACTTCAAGTGACCCTCCCACTTTGGCCTTTTACACTGCTGGAATTACAGGTGTGAGCCACTGTACCTAGCCTATTTATGAAATTTTTGCTCTCAACCTGTGGTCATGAAAATACTCTGTTTTCTGTTGAAAGCTTTGTTTTCTTTTTTTAATTTTAGGTGTATGATCCATCTGGAATTTATTTTTGTACAAGGTGCTTACGTGAAGTAGGGACATTTGTTCCTTCCCCATTGCATTATGATGGTACCCTTGTTTGTTTTTTCTTTTTTTTTTTTTTTTTGAGACAGGGTCTCACTTTGTCACCTAGGCTGGAGTGCAGTGGTACCATCACAACTCACTGTAGCCTTGACTTCCCAGGCTCCAGTGATCCTCCTACCTCAGCCTCTGGAGTAGCTGGGACCATTGGTGTAGCCACCATGCCTGAGTAATTTTTGTATTTTGGTAGATACAGGG